ATTTATTTTCAAGCAGTCTTACCACTCTGCATTTCTGATGGTGTGAGATATAATGCTCTTTAGATTTAGCTGGTCAGCTAGTACAAACATTTTTAACACAGAAGAGGAATTCATTTTAAGTTGTTGCATTTAAACTTCGGGTGTTTTCTGAATTTCTTGAGCTGAAATTTCTTGTCAAGCAGTGTGAATCTCATCTTTGAGGTCTACACTTGAGCAGTTATTTTAGCTCCTGATAATCTAGTGTTGGGTTAATGAGACACAAAGCAGCAAACAAACCATGCTGAGTTGTGGTGAAGGGGAAAAATAAACATTAAAAATAGACCTTCATAATATCTGGAGATTAGCTTCAGGGTTTTCTGGATATCCTCAGCCACATACTGGGCTGTGTTGTGCGTGTATATAAATGTAGCCAGTTAGAGAAGGGGATCCTTCCATCCGCTGTCTCGCATGCTTGTGAGGTGACATCTCAGTGTTCGCCTCAGCCACATACTGGGCTGTGTTGTGTGTGTATATAAATGTAGCCATTTAGAGAAAGGGATCCTTCCATCCGCTGTCTCGCGTGCTTGTGAGGTGACATCTCAGTGTTCTGGGAGCCCCAGCGCCAGGAAGGCACCGCTGGGTCCCACAGCGCTGCTCGATCAGGGCCTGGGCTGCAGGCGCAGGAGTGGGTTGCCGAGAGAGGCTGTGGAACCTCCCACCTGTGGGAACACCTGAAGCTCGGCAGGAGGAGGCCCTGCTGTGACTGGAGCTGCCTCGACTGGCCTAGGTAGGGGCCTTCCGGAGGCCCCTTCTAACCCATGGGTTTCTAAAATAAGTCAGGTGGGTTACTTGCTTAGGGAATTAAATAGGGTTCACTAGAGAAACTTGTTTTGCTTTAAACTTAATAGGTCTTTCAGTGAAGTTGGACCTTTGTTAATGTCCCCCCTTGGATGTAAGTTTCATCCAAGTATATAAATTTTGCATATGAAATATTAACTTTTCTGTCTTCACCTTGCTTATTTTTTTCCCATGTATTGATCCCTTATAACTAAGAATTTTATTGCAGACATTTTGGATATGAGATAACATAGTGTTTTGTTAAAATATAATTGCAAAGGCTAGGAGAATTTTTGCTAGTTTTTTAAGAAAATGCTTATCTATGGTGTTTGCGATACATTAAGAGTATTCTGAGCATATAGATCTGATTCTTGGGTTCAAGATATTTTTGTACAGTAATGCAGAACAACTTCATTAGAAGATAGAACTCAAGTACTGTAATATTAAAAAGAGCAAATTTGCTCAACTGTTGTTAGACCCTTTCTTAAAGGAATTTTTTTAGTGGTCGATTGAACTCTGTTTAGCAGACCATGCTCCCAGTAGCAATTTTGTTCTTTTGCTGTAGAGAATTCCTGGGCCTCTTCTGGAAAAGTTCTGTAGGCAGCAATTCTGTAGTCTATGCAGGAATAACCAAGTGAGTGCTTGGTGGGCTTTCACCAGAATTTTTCAAAATTTGTTTTGTACTATTAAAGATACTCAGACATGTTATCCAGATATAATTCAATTGTAAGGCATGGTTAATGGAGCAGTAGGAAGTTGTAAAATAAATGGTGTCCCTTATTATTCCAAATGAAGGGAAGGGGGGGTAAAAAAACAGGAGCTTGTATATATGTAAGTGTCAAAGCTTCCATGTCGGTTGTGCCAATAAGTCTTTATTTCTCTTGCTTTCTGTCATTAGATCATACAGAATAGAGTAAAACACTCTTAAAAGCATTTTTTTCCCGTGAGGTAATGCTTTGAGTCCCTTTCATAATGGATATTAGAGGAATGTATCATAAATTTGCATTGGTAGCCTTTAATTTCAAAGAAAGTTATGTAGAACATAAGTACAGCTGGAGTTGCATCTTTGTCTGTTAGAGAATAAAAACGAAAAGACACTCTGCCCTTTTCAGCAGTAGCTGTTGGTCGCTTGGCGAGATTTTTATGGTGGTTTGTGAGATCCTGTGTGTGTGTAACCGTGACCTCAACATGAACATTATAGTGCCATATGGAAACCATGAGGGCACGGTGTAGTGGAGAGTGCTGCTGTCATAGGCGTAGGATTAAAGTGGCAGTAATGCTAAGGCTGGAGGGAGTACCACCTTGTGCTGGTGTTTGCTTCTGATTGAGAGTTGATTCTGATTGTTCTTCTGGGGTGTGCAGCAAGTTTCTTGCTTTCCCCCTCGCCTTTCCGGAGAGAGACTATGCCCAGGAATCTGCTGTTATTCACATTTGCATTGGAGTTTTCTTCTCAAGGCAGTCAAAATCAGATTTTCTTTGTGCATTTCCATGTTTCAAGGTGAAAAAAAAATATATTCTGTAAAACTTGTTTGCATTTGCTCTCCATTGGCTATATTATAGCCTTTCTTATTTTGGAGATTTGTATTATTTAATCTACTTGAAAACATTCAGTGTGCGTGTCCATTCTCTATTGTGTTTGCTCTTTTCAACTTTATATGGGAATGAAGTGGATAATTTTTCTATTGCCATTTTCAATGGGAGCTGCATGATCTTTTGTCGATACCGGTTGACCTGGATATCTTGGGGAAAAAAAAACATTTTCTGTGGTCTTTAAAAATACGATTTTGTTTACTGTGACACCACTTACCATTTGAGTCAAAAAGTATATACACTATTAATTCTTGGGGATGCATTTTTCCTGTATTTCTTCTTGGAACTAAGTATATTTTTGGTATTGTAGCTGATGAGAAGCGATGTGTTGTCTGTATATGTTAGTTGCATTTAATGGGCAGGCACTCATGAAGGTGACAACAGAGATTTAAAATGAGAAGAATGGGACATGTCAGTGGCAACTCTGTTTGTCACGTACAGATTTTTCTTGTTTTACTGCTGTTCTAGAAAGAGCCACGTGAGAACTGAAAAACTGGGAAGCGTTTGATATTTTTGCACTGGTGAGATAAATGAAAAACTGACCAAAATTTTATTAGCCTGAAAATAAGGTTGCTGGAGAAAAGCATAGGTATAAACTTTAAATGCAAAGTTATTTTAAGTGATAATAATGTGGGGGTGTTGTTTATTTGCTTTTTATTTTTTAGTAGGATACAGAGCAGCCAGAACTTCCTCTTTTCAAATTGTCACTGTTTGATCAGATACTGATACCTTAATGTGAATGTTTTAGTTGAATTTTCAAATGAATTTTAGGCTTTATCTTAAAAAAAAAAAAAAAAAAAAAAAAAAAGTGTGTGGTCTGTCCACATGTATAAGTAAGGAAATCCACAGAGTCGTTTTCTGGTCTTCTGGTCTGGTATATATTAATTCCTTCATTGTTTTTTATCTAACATTTCCAAATTTCCTCTCTGGAAGGGAGAGGAAAGGGAGGGAATGTGGAAGAATTTTCATTGACTTTATGGCAAAAAGTTTCCGTCTGAACATTTTTTTTCCTTTGTATTTCCTTATGTGACAGTCCAAATGACAAGGCATATAGATTGAATTCACAGGTTGACTATCCTTGTGCTGTCTTTTTTTTTTTTATATATATATATATGATGATTTGTTTTGTTTTGTTGTTTTGAAGTCATTTCACTTTTTGATTCCATTTTGATTCCATCTTTTCCACTCAAATTAATAATTTATAGAATGATTTGGGGATGTCATTTCAGTAAGTTTTATTGAACTTAATCCAAAATGTTCTATGAACTACAGTTGCTGTTACCTGTCTGAGACTTTTCTTAAGCTGGATGTAGAAAAGCAAATATTGAACACAAGGGATCTAATCTGCTTTTTGCTGCATAAATAAATTATATAACTTACGAAAATATTAGCATAATTTTTCCGTTTGCTTTTCTTCATCAGGATTATAACAACTTTAATTAAAAGTTGTTTCAAGGCTAAATTTTTCACTTCATTTTGAAGTTGTTTAACTACTACTAAGCATGTTATTTAGACTTTCAGAGTATATGCAAGGGTTGCCCAACTGAAGCTTTCAAAGCAGAAATGCCAAGCAAATTTTCAGGGCCATTTGATGTATTTTGAAAGGTAAATTGCAAATGTTTCTCAGTAGTTAAGTAGTTGTGTGCCTGGATTTAGTGTGGGCAGTTTTTAAAAGGTATGAATGAGATACAGGATGTATCTCTGTGCTGTCAACAAGTGTTTTAAAGTTGTAAATGGAATAAAAATAAAATACTAGAGCAGGTTGTCGTCTGAGTGGGTTAAATCCCATATAAGATTATTTTGATTTGTAAGGATAAAGGAAAGGAAGTTGTAGTGGTAATTAATAAAATTAAAAAATACTGGTAGGAGAAAGAGCAAGAAATGAGCAGGCCTTGCACTTTGTCTAGTTGATTTGGAAATGACAAAACCTGTTGCACAACCTTTTACACGCAGAAAACACCCTCCGAAGGCATGGCCAACACAAACGCTTCGCGTAGGTTTAACTCCCCTCACTCGAAAGAATTTACAGCAACTGGCAGGATTGTTTCACACCGGGAGTGGTTGTGCTTGCTGATCTTTATCAGTGGGTCGAAATAGGCAAGGATTACTTGACATCCTGGCACAGCAGCTTTCAAAATATTGCAGCTGTGTAGGTTTTGAGCTGTAGTAACTGTGTAGTGACAGTCGTCTGCATCTTATGGTTTGTTTTGCACATGATCTTTTTTGCAAATCATCTTTTAGTTTTGTTTTCTGTCCTCTGGGGTTATTCAGAACAAAGAAAAGTTTTGCACAGACATCAGGCTTAAATATCCATTAAATGATGGGGAAGAGAAGGAGCTGTGCCGTTAAGAGAATTAACGATAAATCTGATGTCATCTGAGGAGTATGGAATCTGCTGTTAAGTGTGAAACCGTAACTGACGTCATTATGATACGACAGAATCCTAGGTGCTGCAGTGTGTTTCGTGATGCAATAATTCTTCACTTGGTAGCATTGCAAGTATAAGTGGAATTGCGTATAATAAAGACTATAATGAAAAAATACTAAGTTAAGATCCTTGAATATTTCCCTTCAGTTTAGTTTCTGAGATTGAGGTCTTCCTTTTCTCTTTCAATTGTGTCTTATTTTTTCCAAAAAAAATTGTTTTACCTTTCCAAAAATGATTAAAATGTACTTTAGAGCACGATAATTTGTTTATCGTTAAACTTACTTTGCATAATATTTCAAGTACTCTATGCAATTTCTTTCTAGAAAAGATTACAAAAAGAACTATTGGCATTGCAAAATGATCCACCTCCAGGAATGACTCTAAATGAAAAGAGTGTGCAAAATTCAATCACACAGTAAGTATATAAATACACTTTTATTTTGGTCATCCAGCTTAAAAGTACAAGTGCTTGTAATGAAAGTATATAACTATGCAATGAAAAATCCCATGTGCTACTTACACCACTTGAATTAAGTAACATTCTGATTTTATTTTATTTTATTTTTTTTTTAAATTTATTGCCTGAAGCGCTATTCTGGTTAATAAATCTATTACTTAATGTACAGACCACTCTCTGAAACTGAATAGCCAATGCTTTGAACCTATATTAGGCATTTTACTGTCTTATAAAATGTCAATGGTTAAAAGCTTCTGCACATTTTAGAATAAAATAATTGAAGAACACCACTGTTTATAGCCAGTAACCTGTGAACCCTTCTAAATTTATGAAAATTGCCCACTACCTGACTTAGCTTCTCTCTAGTACTTGTGTTGAATATATTCCACAGTTGTTGACTTCCAGGGTCATCTTTCTTGAAAGCAAGTGGAGAGAAGTTCTTAAAGAAGCAAGAGAAACTTAATTTGATAACTCTGATTTTCATCCCAGCTGTGCTTTTATATATAGCTAGTATAACTGAAAGGGAGGCATGGTTAAGTGTTACATATATTTGATTGAAATGGACAGGTGTAGTTCCTGATTTTAAATTAAACTGCTTTTATTCATTTGTAAGTGAACTGGAGCCCAGAATGCTTTCCTGGGCTACAGTAGCATTTTAGATACTTTTGTAGTTATTTTTGTTAGCAGCTGTATTTGAAATCAGCATTAGGAAGCTCCTAGCAGAGAAACTCATTTGTATGAGTAGAAATGCGTGTTCTGGACTTCTGTGTTATTCATTGATGGTTTCGTTTTTGTCATCCTTCCTAAAAGGGTAAGTGATGAGAACTCTCCTTCATGTCAATTCAGTAACAATATAGAGCTAACTCTGATACTACTTCACATTTGCATTTTTGATAGTGGCACGCAGTGACCTTGCTAAGGAAGGCCTTGGGGCCCTGCGTGCTGATACACACCGAGTTAAATATTGTTGTTTTTCAAATGTTGCTGTTTTTTGCGATCAAATATGACTGAACCAAATTGAAACAGCACATTGCAGAATTAGATAGGTACAATTAATAATAAACTGTTGCCACCTTTAGCAAATTATAAGCTATATATTATTTTGAGTTTTCTGTGTCTACTGGAAAAGCAGAATCCTGCATCTTCTGAAAAAGAAGGCTCAAATATTGCAAATACTCTCTACTCTTATTTAAACAAAAAAATATAAAGTGAAAGTTCGGAGAAAATGGAGATGGAAAAAGGGTAGAAGAATCTGCTTCTACATATACTTCAGTTTCCATTTTCCTTAGGAAATCTCTTAAGTTACCAAAGTAATTCTTTACTGGTTTTACATGATGTGTTACTTTTCCACCCATTAGCAAATAAATTTACCTCTTGCTTATTGTCATACTAGTCTTTCAAATTTTCAGTGTTTAAAAGGTTTGTTTACTAGTAACATTAGTTTTTGCCATTTGGAGGTTATTGACACCAAGTAATATGTTCTAAGAGCATTGGTCAAGCTACAGCTAGAGCTGGTGCAGTGTAGATTTGTGTGGAAGTGTTAGCAGGGGTTTGGAAAAAGTCGAATTAAATAGTGGAGTAACTGGATCATTTAACACGCAAAGCAGTTTTCTTTTAAATAGCTTTTTCTTAAACTTCTAATTGTGAAAACTTAAAACACACAGGAAAGACTGATTCAATAAAGGAGGAGTGCCCAGGCAGAGCTGTTCTCCTTTACTTTGTAAACAATTATCTAAAAACGTGAAGGTGCCCCTGGGTCACAGGGGCGCCCCGAGCTGAGGACGTCGGTGTAGCAGGGGCGTCAGTGCAGAAGCAGAAGGTGGTTAGGGGTCCACGGGATCGAGCCCAGCTACATGAAGTCGTGGGACGTTCCCAAACCTGGGGCACGAGCACAGCATCACCCCGCCGCACTGAGGGGCTTTCCCCCGGAGAGCTGCACCACGCTTCGTGTGTTAGCAGAGAAGGCACTTTTCTTACAAGAATTAATGTCGTAGAGGGGAAGATATGTGCCAGGACTTGAAAAAACGACAGCTTAAGTACATGGCAACAGCTTATATGGCAGGTAGGATAAAGAAGTTGGAAACAGGGTTACAGACTGAAGGAGATGCCTTTTTTTATTTCTTTTTCCCTGCTGCTCTGAAAAATCTCAGCTGCTTCACTTGAGATGGATGCAAGTCGTTCAGTGTGGGCAGTGGTGTTGCCTCTTGCTGGAGGTTTGTGTTATAGTCATATTCCTCAAATGTGTAAGCTCAGGCTAGGGTGAAGGATGGAAAAATGCAGGAGTGATGGTCGTTACTGCAGTGATCTGCAACAGAACTGCACGGTGGCAGGGATGTTATATAGCAGCGTGCTGGTCTACCTTCTGACTATTATTAAATGCATCTTGTTTAGCTATTTTGAAGAAGAAAAATAAAAAATACATATTTCCATGTTATGATGGAAGGAGCAGAAACAGAGGAAAAAGAAATCTGTGGTATGTTGGGATGTTATCTTAATTACCTGCTGAGCTAGATAAAGGGCAAGGGAGGAAACAGATCACTGAGCTGGTCAGTTGTAAGTCATTAGCAGCTTCCTTTTTTTGACCTTTTTTTTTATGCTGCTAACTTTTCCAGTCCTGTCTAGCAAGGACATGGTAGACTGTGTAACATTTCACCTTTGACTTGTTCGTAATATAAGGGGAAAGAGAGAAGTATTTCCCCTTCACCGCTCTGATGTTGATGTTTACTTTAATAAGCTGCACTTAGGTTTTCTCACAGGAAATAAAAACCAAGAACAAACAAACAAATCCCCAAAACAAATGGAAAGAGAGTATGCACTACTTTATTTCTGTCCTAGGTTGTTTTTGTATAGGAATAAACTTTGGAACAGGCCTTCTGTTTTGGCTTTACTGTCTCTTGTTAACACAATTACCTTATTGGGAAATGACAGGTCTGACCCGAGTTCAAGTGCTAATTGTTTGTATAGTTTTCAGTGCTATAGCAATGACTAAATGGAAAACACCAAGCTGCTTTCTGGCAAATGCAACCTTGACATTTTATTTGCTTTCTTGATAATTATCAAGATGGAATAGGAGAGTTTGGTGGATTTTGTTATTAGCCCTGTGTTTCAGGAGTAAAATTACAGTTTGGTAGTCTGCAGTACTAACTGTTACTCTTATGTTCCTAGGTGGATTGTAGACATGGAAGGTGCTCCAGGAACGCTATATGAAGGGGAGAAATTTCAGCTTCTATTTAAATTCAGTAGTCGATATCCTTTTGATTCGCCTCAGGTAACTGCTTGCTTTCTGCCTTCCTACCTAGCTCGGCTTTTGGGTTATAGCTGCGTGGCACATGCTGACTGGTGACATTGTCCGCACATTGCCGTATGTAAGGAGAAGTCAGTAGCTTTGGTTTGTATGAACACGTGGTGCGGGTGCCATTTCTCCATTTCTTTACAAAGTGACCCTGCAATGGAATACAGTGCCCATGGCAGCCCACTTGGTGTCACAGAAGATCAAAGAGCAGAGTAACTTGAGGGTTGTTTTTTCCCTTTTTGAGATGCACAGGTGACTTTTTCCATCACATTAAAGAACCTCCCAGGAGAAGGTAGGCAGGTGATCCTTTATGGGGATACAGGTGCAGAGTAAACAGCAAACTGAGTGACCCTGCAATGGAATACAGTGCCCATGGCAGCCCACTTGGTGTCACAGAAGATCAAAGAGCAGAGTAACTTGAGGGTTGTTTTTTCCCTTTTTGAGATGCACAGGTGACTTTTTCCATCACATTAAAGAACCTCCCAGGAGAAGGTAGGCAGGTGATCCTTTATGGGGATACAGGTGCAGAGTAAACAGCAAACTGCTGCTTTGTCACCTCTCCTTTTGGTTCCCAGCTCTTTTTTTTTTTTTTCTCTCCTCTCTCCCTTCCCTCTCTTCCATCTGCTGTGATCGCTAGTACAGCTGGGCAACTCTTGTGACTTCAGTAGCGATCCTCAGAGGCATCTTAAAGAGGCGCCTGGTCTGCAAAGCCAGTGATGAGAGTTGAGGTGTAAGCTGCTCTGTTGCTTTAGTGACCCTGGGAGAGCTGAAGCACTGCACCTGCTTCCATTGCCCGAGGGGAATGTTTCCAAGCATCTCCTGTAAGCGGAGGAGATGCATGTTCAGCTATCCCCCACTTGGAAAAGGAGCAAGAAAAGCAAGGATGCCTCAGTCTGTCCTTGATGGTTTTGGCCTTTCAGCTCAAAGCTCTGAGAAGGAGAGTTAAGAATCTCTGTGGTGCTTTTCTCACTGTTGAAACCCATGCGGAGAGCCATGAGAGACATAACTATAAACACGTGGTATCTTTAGGTACCTGGGTAAAAACCAGATGCTGACTTTTCAGCCTTAGGTGGTTAAGGAACAAAGTGCCAGCTGCACCTGTCACGTTGGCATAGAGCCGCTCATAGGGGATCCCCAAGGCAGTAACCACTTTGGTTTGGCTCCAAGTAGGTAGTGCTTGTAACTACCCAGTGTGTGTGCGTGGCTGTGTGCAATTCATCACAAAACGTCAAACCATATCCGAATGTATACACAACTTTTTTTAGCACAGAAAACAATTAAGTATTTTATCCTAGGTCTTGCATTGTTGTAAATAATTAGAATTTCCGTTGTGAAAATGGTGCTGTGGAGTGAATTCATTTCTTACTGCAATTCCTGGATTATAATTCTCTCCCCCAAATCTGCCTCCTGTGACTGGAGAGTTTAAACTTCTGCTTTTTAATCACTTGGTTGTTTTCTGTCTCGAATGTATGTTGTCTATCATAGTGTGGATGCTTTTGCTTCCTTAGTATACCTTGTTCTTGCTTTCTGGTAAAGGGGAGACATTAGTTTGAATGGAAATACATTACTGGATGAGGAAGGTAAGATGTTCCAGTGCACACAGCTTTAGTACAGAGGAACCACAAAAGGCAGACTGCGAGATTTTAAAAATTTACTTGGCTGTCCTTGCACTGTTGTAATTGTGAATTTATCTTTGCACTTTCTATGCTCTTCATAAAAAAAGAACTATTATTTTCTTATTTATGTTGACAATAAGTTACAATAACATTTATTCTTCTTTTAGGTCATGTTTACTGGTGACAATATTCCCGTTCATCCTCATGTTTATAGCAATGGTCATATCTGTTTATCCATTCTAACGGAAGACTGGTCTCCGGCGCTCTCGGTGCAGTCCGTTTGTCTTAGCATTATTAGCATGCTTTCCAGCTGCAAAGAAAAGGTACGAGTGGGTTTTGTTTGGTTCTCTGAGTAAAATAAAAGTTAACTAGTAACTGTACAAAGCAAAGTTGCATATCTCAAATTTTAAAGCAGACAAGCTACTATATGTTGCAACAACCGAGGGAAAAAAAAATCCTAAGCTAGAACTGCCAAGTGAGCAGTGCAGGAATTCATGGTAATCTGTTCATATCATTACTGGAAAAGAGGCATGAAAAGAATTATTCTAATTGTACTGATTACAACAGTTCTTTGTAAAGTTGTTCAGACTATAAAGCCAGTGCAAGATGATTGTGTAGAAATGAATATTTTGCATAGTGTAGATATTTGTCTGTATTAGAGTATTGTTTTGAAATTACTACAGCTGCACATACAGCTGCAAAAACTTTTTAGAGTTAGTTATTTCTTTTATCTTTTTCACTTGCAGGAAAATAAGTAATGCTTTCCTGCATCTTTAGGCATATTTTTTTGGCAACTGATACTGTAAACAGACTTTTTTTTTGGATGAATATTCTATCATTTTACTGCTGCTTCTGGAGTGAAATTACCCAGGGGGGTAGATTTGGTCAGATCTCTCATATATTTGTGTTATTCAACGTGCCTATTTATATCATATCCCATCCATGTGTATGAGGTAGAAAAAAGCCTCAAATTGCTTTGTACTATATCTTGTAGCTTTGGTTTTGCACTGTAGCTTAAAATTATTATGAAAAAAAGAATATTTGATATAGTAGGTCTTTATCTGTAAGAGAGTTGAAACAAAGTTCATTTTTAAGCTACTCCAAGCTGTGAGTGAATGTGGCTTGGTTTTTAATTTTGATATATAGATCCAAACTGCAGAGGTTGTATTTGGTTCTTTTAAATAACCATTGGTCTCTGTTTTCTTTTTGTGCTGCCACCAACCCCCATTTGGAATTTTCATGGAATTTGTTTGAAGGATCTCTACTCAGTTTTGTTAGAAGGATTATTGAAAGATGATTTTTTTGTTTTCTTGAGCAATGCCTAGCACTCTGCTCATCATCAAAAGCCTCTCCCTTTCCCTGCATTCTTGTGCCAGCATTTCATAAGCTTATTTGAATAGTTCATGTATTTTGACGTGAGGATTGCTTGATTATTTGTAGATGTTTTTTTTTCTGTTGCAGAGGAGACCTCCGGATAATTCATTTTATGTAAGAACATGTAACAAGAATCCAAAGAAAACAAAATGGTGGTATCATGGTAAGTATTTAACTAGAACCAGTAATTTTGGAGTGTGGTGGGGCTTTTTGTTTTTGCGTTTTTAGGCTGAAGACAGTGAAAACATAATAGAGTAGGATGAGTGGTTTTTTCCAAAGCCCTTTTTAATATTCAGTTTCTAAGATATGCATGGTGATTTTTTTAATCATTCTTTAATTGCTGAGTGAAATTTAGCACAGGATTGCATGAGTTTTAACCTGTAGGATTTGATTTGAGTAGGAGAATTCTTGTAAATTGTATCAGTCATTGACAAGTCGTAAAGGCTTGGGGAAGCTACTTGGTGAAACAGGTTTCTTTAATCAGTATGTTGGTAGTGCTTTAAAAGCTTGCACTACCATTAAAATGCCACTCTATTTATAAGCAGCTGTGATTTCAATAGATTTCAACTGTTCCACAGATCTTCTAATGGGGGCCAATTGACTTAGAGGTTCCTAGGAACTAATAGGCAGTAATATGGCAGCGTGATTCCACACGTGCATGAATAAAGATAGATCCTGAAGTTGAAAAGTGTATCGCTACAGTCTCTGCAGCGTAGAGCTTCCTCCTTTCCTTGCCACATGCTTCTTCCTGTCCGTACAGGAGGGACGCGGACTGTGTCCGTGTTGCATTAAGGTTTGTCTGTCCTTTCCTTCCACCTTAGCACCCGTTGTCCTCTCCCCAGAGCTGGGGCTGGCTGCATGTGCTCGGCTTGCCCACGAGCCACGAGGAAGGGAAGGAGGAGGAAAGATGAACTCTTTTTTTCTTCCTCCTCTCCTTGGCCACCACTTTCTTTGCCTTGCCTAGGAAAATGCTAGTTATAGGAAACCCATGCAATTTTCAGGAAGGGATATGTCAGAGCAGGAAATACTGTGTGCCAGGGTGATCAGGAGGAGCGGGTCCCATAAATATCTTTCCCTGAGCCCTCCATCATGAGCCATCCTCTTATTTTTCATTTTTACCTGCCTCCCCACCCCAGGGCTTGTTCTGTCTCCCATATGAAATAGGATCAAATATTTGAAATTACAGTAGTCAATGAATGGAGAGAGAAAGACCAAAGCCAATGCTCACATTCTTAAGCCCGTGGGTGCTTTATTTTAAGAGCCTGATAGTTCCATAATACCTGCTGACACTCATAAGGCTTTTTTGATAGCTCATAATGCAAAAATGAGCTCTTTCTCATAGTGTAGTATCCTAACAGTCTCTCAAAAACAAGTTGACTTTAATCACAGCCGGAGGAGTGCTACATGTCATGGGATTAGGAAATGTTTAAGATGCTTAAGACTGTTGATCATGTGACTTGCATTATGTTGCTTTCAAAATTGTCTCCAAAAATAAAAAAAATCCATTATCCAAAAGCCTTAATAGGGTATGTTCTTCAGCCACACTAAATTCTTTAGTAAAAACCCTTTTTTCTTCCGCCATCTCCTCACTCGTGTAACTTGTAGGGTGCTTCTTCATCTCTCCTCTTGCTTTCCCTCTGTTGTCAGTTTCCTGATAATTTGTTTCTGGTGTTTTTATTTTATTTTTGTTTGCTAGTTTTTTTAAAGAGAATCAACTGAATTTTCATGTATTAACTTTTATCTTGTGATTCAACTATATTTTGTTTGCTTTAAACCTATAGAAAGTCCTGTTTTGATTCAGGACTGAAGTCTCTCAAGGATAACAGTCTACAGATGCTACTTTGATTTCTTATTCATGCAATTCAATTAGAGAAACTCCAAATGAATATAAAAAGACATGTGATTCTACTCTGAAGGTCGCTGTATAGTTATGACCAAAAAATCTAACTTCTTATATACCATTGAATAAGTCATTGAATTATTTGGAAATAATTACCCAGTGTTTGCTTTATGAAAGTCAGAAAACTGAATAATCCAAGAGCCAACCTAACATTCTGGAAAGAGTCGGTTCATGTAAATAACTCTTACTGTTTTTTATTTATTTCAGAATATTTTCATTTATGTGACTTTTGAATTTTTTAACAATTGAATGGGGGAAAGGAGAGAGAGAAGCTCATTCAACTTTTAAATGTGATCACTTTTGTAATTAGTAATTAGAAATTTCAACCTCTTGATGTCAGTTGGGCAAACAACTTTTCATAAAATTTAGAGGTTTTTATTCTCAAATTTTGTGCCCCTCTTTCTCCTTTCTCAGCTTCGAGTGATTTGCTTCTCTTCCGTGGCTCTATGACAAAGCTGCCAAGGGAGGATGTTCACATTTTCAAAGTTTTTCCTAGTTGCTTTGAAAAACTGCTGAACTGCACCAAGGAAGTGTACTTTGATACCTTCACTGCTAGTTTTAACCCCTTCTTTCTGGGCAAGAGCAGTTTCCGACCCTAAATCCTTTGACTTGAATGGATTTACCAAGCCTTTGAGAAAGGTTCTTCTGTCGTCTTATTTTCCTGCTCCTGTTTCCTTTGGAGGGCCATGTGTCTAACCGTGTGGTCGAACCACTTTGACCTAGGTGGATTAGGGCAGGAAAAACATAACACTAAGAAAAGAGGAGAAAAAAAAAAAACAAGGAAAGAAAAGAAAAGGCCCAAGGGTGACCACAGGGTGAGCTAAGCGCCAACAAGAACTCGCGGCAGGAGAGGCCGTGGTCCTGCTGCTCCTGCTGCGAGCTGGCCGCTGGGCTGCCTTGCTGTGCAGGGAAGTTGTGTCTTCGTGTTCTCCTACGCTTGTGGTCTCTCCTTGTGAAGGGAAGGGTCATCGCTTCTACCACGTGCCTCTGAAGGATGTTTCCTGTTCAAGGAGGGAGCTGGAGCTTGCTTGGCTGGGAGCAAACGCTGCATGTTTGGGGATCGGTGCTCAAGCAAGCTGATGCAGGCACAAAGGGGGCACAGTGGCTCCGAGATACTCGCACGTCTAAATGTGCTCTCTGCATGCTTAGTTTAGTAGAGCTCTTAATATCTTTCTTCCTCCCTGCCCAGCATAACAACTTATTCCACAAGTAGCAAAATGAAGAGGTTTTGGTACAAACGGCTCTCTTCTCAAGCCCTGTCCTAAAACTCCTTCCTCCTCTAACTTTCACTCCCTTCAACAGCTAGAAATATCTCTAGATCCTCTCCTTTGCTTTACCTGTATGTTGAATTTCATGCTGCCCATCCAAGAGCCAGTCCTGCCCTCTGAAAGACACACGAGGATTTTTCCCCTTGTGGGGAGGACTGTCCAACTTTGTTCCAACCTGTTGTTCCTTGTGCTGTAGGGGCAAATTCTGTGAAAGAGGAGGCTCCAGTCTTCCTTCAGAGCCAGCACCTCCTTATTGTGTTTTTTTTATTATTTTTTTATTATTATTATTTTTATTTTTTTTTCTTGAGGTTTGATTCTGAGAAAGTGTTTTCTCCAGTATTTGTCCTAAACTTCTAGTATGCAAGTCAAATGCCCCTTCTGTCTCCATCTTTGTCCTTTTCAGTTTTTTAATTTTACCCTCCTGTCAAGATGAGCTTTCTTTCATGTAACACAGCAGAGGTGTATATAAACCTTATATATGCTAGAAATCTATATGATGAGGCTACATTTTTTTTAATGCATATTGGTGTAACCTTGCACACAAATAGTGAATTTGCTGTCTGTTAACAAGCGGGGCTTTTCCTGAAACACATTTTCCTGGCCTGGTGCAATAAAGTGGCACTGCGAGGACTTCTTTTCCCATGCCAAGCTCTTATCAGATGCAGTTGCATTGTAGGCCAAGGTCTGGAAAAGCAGCTGTAAAAGGGAAAGCTTTCACAGATGTAAATATGTCCTTAAGCATTATTCCAAGCATAATGCAAAATTACTTGGAATATACCATAGGAAAGGCATTCTAACTGTAATATCTGAAATGCAGTGAATGCGAGCTGTTTTCCCATGTAAGACTTGAGCATTCCCGTGGCAGCATCCCGCGTAGCACCGCGTGGGGCCCGGTGTGCGCGTTGATTCAATTCCGGCGCGTTAGCCGTGCGCGCGGGGCTGGAAGGGAGCGCGAGGAGCAGCGCAGCGCGCTGGCCAGCCCTGCACATCCCCTCGGCGTGCCCTGGGAAGCACCTGGAGAACTGTCTGGAGCGCGTGCACGAGCCTGCCTTCACGGGAACGTGAGGCGTATCTGGGGTTTCACTTTCTAAGGAATGGGTTTCTTAGCCACGTGTGAAAGTACTGTGCTTCTAGTGGAATATTCACTAAAAATGGTGTGCTGGGGGTGTATACAGGTAGAAACTTGGGAAGCTTTGTTGGACGGGCTCTCCTTTCCCAAGTCCTTACTGAACAGCACCCAGCGTTATCCATGTTTCACTGCACGATCTCAAGGCTAAAAGTTGTTGAGCACCTAACCGACGTGGGCTGAGAATGTTTGCGTGTTTTCCATAAACCCTTTTTTCTTCTCTTTTATCTTAAAGACGACACGTGTTGATGCCACCGTTTTGTGATCCTCGTAGCAGAAGATAGTCCTACTGAGAAAATGAGCACTTTGAGCATTCAGTCTTTGAACTTAAACCTTTGACTGGAAGTGACCTATAGGCAATGAAGACTACTTCCTTTGACTGCATTTTTACTAGTGTGCATTCTGGGCGCATGTTGATCGCTGGTTCAGTCCATGCAACTGACATGCTTTTCTTAGTCATACAGTATTAATGCAGGTGTCCAGAAATGTCAGAATAATTCCATTATTTTTATTTTAAGCTTTTGGAAGAATTCCAGGTCTTCATATATTGTGCAATAACACTGAGCTCCTTGACGGTTTTGGTGCATCCATTGCCGGCAATGGACATTGTACCAGGGAAAATTTTTGCTCCTGCCACAAAAAGATTGCATGATAGAGCTTAGGAGAGTTTCAGATATATTTGGTTTATAAGCAAGGGATCCACCATGACCTTAAAAGCCACCCCATTCTTTTATATTTGGATTCTATGCACTGTGATCACAAAAATAGCAGCATGACTTAACATGCTTAGCTGAAGGACTGTAATAAGATCATTGCATATTTATTAGATTGTTTATCTGCTGTCAAATTGTTTTGACATGGAAGGTTTTCAGGTGACGGTGGCAGAGAGGTACAATGTTATCCCTATGGTGAAATAAAACTACTTCTTTTGTATATAGTTATTCATATCTCTGAAGCAAAGGTATGAGTAATTTAGGGTATGAGTGATTTAATCAAGAATTTATTTTGGAGATGAGAGAGGATGGCAGTGATATAACTGAACTTGCTGCAGTCCATAATTGGGCTTGTAATTTGTACTTTAGAGCTTTTTTTCCAAATAGATTGCACACTGTTATTTCCTGCTAGCCATCAGCATGAGCCCTATTGCCTACATCAATATTTCATTTATTTATGTGTTTGAGAGCAACCCATATAACATTTTTTGTTTGCATTCACGGTTTCTTTTGTTGTTGTATGTCATGTTTGAATGTTACAAAACAATATTTTGATTGAAAAGCTTTGTCAGAAGATATTTTCATGTAAATTATTTCTTTACCTTGTAAGCGTCATCTTGTCTTTTAATCCTGTACTATAAAAAAAAATACATTTTTGACAGAGGCTTAATGTTTTGGAGAAAAAAAAAAAGTGTGGGCCTTTTTATTTAAGTTTAGACTAAAGGATATTTTATTAATTTGTTTGTCCCTGGCAGCCATACCAAATTTCCCCAGACTTTTCCTCATTAAAAAGGAGGGGGGGAGCGGGGAAAGCCCTAAAATCAGATAGACATTTTTCTGCAGAACAACAATTATTGAGGATGGATAGTTGTTGTCACCATTCTGTAATATTTTGATACTGTGATAAAGTTGTCTTTTTAGGGAGCACTTTTATAAACCGAATACCTTTACACATATGCAAAATTTCTATAACATTGCTTTTTTTTTTTATTTTATTTTATTCTTTTTAAACTGTTGCCTTATTGTTGCACTCAAAATCAAGTGGTCAAAGTGTGAATGTCTAAATTGAATAACTACTTGATTAAAACAAAAAGCCAATCTGGAATGAATAACTTCAATAACAAAAAAAAAAAGGCTGAAAATACTGAAGTGTTTTTTTCTTCTTTTTTTACAGCTGTGTAATAACTGACAAATTTTGTAGTCTTGTACATACTTCTCTGTTAACGTTTAAAACGTATTTTAAAGTATAGATGCTTTACTCAGGGTGGTTAAATTCAAATGGATTTGCTTCAGAGAAGTGTTTTGTACAGCAGCTGAATTACGGATATTACTAGTTAAGTGAGGCAACTACGAACTTCAGGAACTGCTGTTTGTTTTTTTTCTACTGTATTGAAAATATTTCTTTAGAACTTGATGGTAAAATCTAGCTGTGGATATAAATTTGATGTGTATATACATTTTTCACAATGAGCCTTTAAAACACAGAAGTTAATTTATTTTAAGAGCCAAAAATAATCATTTTAAGCAAAGGAAATAGTTGTGCTTCTAGCTTTGGTTTAGTAAAATTTTACTGGTAAGAGTAATCAAATCGACTATTTTTGCAGATGATAATATGAAAGAGCAGTAATCTATCCGCCTCCTTAGTCTGCATATCCACGTGAACTGCTCTGTGTAATTGATGGGATGAGTTGATGCATCTTGGAAAATCCCCTGCATTTCCACACAGCTGGGGCACTTGAAGGCTCTCTTAGGTAGTCCCTGGCACAGAGCCGCTGTTGGGACGCGAGGTGCTGTCGCTGAGGACACACACGGAGCATCCTCGCAGGCCCGTGTGCGTCGCCTGCCCGGACTGCCCGGCTGCAGCGCCGGGGGCAGCGAGGGCAGGCGGGAGCAGCGTGTCCCCACGCACCGCAGCTTCATATGGGCCATTGTGAAGTTAACCACACCTATGCTGCTCTCTAATAATAACCTCACCTGTGGTGTACTGAAATCCCTCCCCGAAAATGCAAGGTAGATGAGAAGAGAACGTGCATGAGGTCTTTTGGTTTACAACACAAATGCCGCTAGAGTCCTGTCCTGGTCCTCTTGCGGATAACTGAGTGGATAAACTCACCGATGTACAGAGGGACAAGGCAAAACCTGTGAACCACTCGAGCCCTCAAAATAATGCAACTATTCTGACAGTGCTATGGTGTCCCAAAATGGGGTTTCAATGAGATGAAGGTGGTGCCATCCTTCTTCTAGGGTGACGCTGTGTATGGAACTTTCTTCACTTCAAGTTTCTCACGTGAAGCGGTTACAGATTTGGCTTGGAACAATCCTTGCTTTTCCTGTGTGTCAATGCTCGTGCTGTTAAACACTGTTTTGTGTTTAGTGTCTTTCTACTATAACACAATAAATTCTTGTTTTAAAATAGTCTATTACCCTTGAATGGAAGTACGTGTGAACCTTTTCATGGTGGAGTGCAGAAGCCTTGTCCATTGCGTTCAGCTACTCTGGGGCAAAGGTATCAGTTATCCCAAAGGGAAGTGATGGATATCAAGGCAGGAATGAGCATAATGCTGAGGTGCTGCTTCTTTCCTTCTCCAGAGGACATCTGTTATAATGGCTGAAGAAAATAGTTCTGTAAAAATTTACTAAGCTTACAGCATCCAGGAGATCCACTGAATCATCAAGTAACCATGAGCCTCCTTTTCCTCTCATTGATGCTTGAAGATATTGCTTGGCAAAGGGCAAAGAACCATCCTAAGCACTTCACATGCTGAAGGGGAGCTTCATTTCCAGGCTCTTCTCCTTGCTCAGTGCTGTGGAAGACAGATTCATTGTGTGATGTGTCAGGGCTGTTAAACGAGATGTCTGCTGCCTCATATCAATAATTGAGTTCACTTTTGTACATTTTATTCCTTCAGAAAAAAATATGATTTGTCTGTTTCAGACAAAGTAAGGCACTTGCTTGATACCTTTAAAAAAAAAAAAGTGAAAAACTCCTTTTGAATTCCTGTATCACTTTTTTTGATGTTTGATTTTTAGTCATTGCTTTATTTGAAAGTCTGACAAAATACAATTAACACCTGTGATTATAAATCTGAGAAGACAACATTTCAATGCCCGTAATTTTTGCAGAACAGATTAGAAAATACAGTTGTCAGGAAAGGTAGATATAGTTGGCAGGTAGATATAATTGGCAGTAAGACTCTTCGGGCTTTTCTTTTTTGGTGTACAGAAATGTTTATTAAAATGAATGAAGCTTAAAAAAAGAGGGGAAAAAAAAGTGGAACTCATGTCTTAAACCATGTCCTGTTGAAAGTTTTGTACCGGTACATAATATCTGGCTTAGGGAAGGTGCTAATACAGCATTAATCTGAGGTAAAGTAATTCAGTGTAATGTGCTGCAACTTCCCAGGGAAGCTCCACAAATCCTGCTCATTCGAACAGATAAGGTTAGAGCAAACTAGTTATTTAATCATCACCACTCGAACCAGCTTGGATTTGCTCTCACAAAGCAGTTGTCTCTCTCCAGACTTCTGAGAAGGCTGAAATGGGAGTTAGGCCGGTTCAGCCATCCCATCCTCCCTCTTCAGCGGCAGCCGCACACAAGCAGTGGGAAGGAAGACTCTGCAGGTAGTGGTTGGCCTCCTGTTTTCAGGAATTCTGTGAGCACTTTGACCAAGTAAAACGGAAAGGGTAGAAAGCAGTCTTCTACTGACTGAAGTTTAATTCAGAAATACAAATTTGTAAATATTTAGCCACTGCTATTATTTAATTGTAATGCTAGTAACAATGCCAGAAATTTTGTTCACTTGCCATGTTTTTCTTCCAAATTGTAAGTATTCTTTCTAAGCATCTTTTGGATGCAGCTGCAGAAAGCTCCTGTGCAGCTATGGAAGGTGAGAGCTTAAGTTACGCAGCAAGAGAGGATTCAGCAGTTTTGTAGTTCAAAAACGATTCCTGGTACAAAGCAGCTTCCTCAGAAACCCTTATGGATTTAATTCAGATTTTTTTATATATATAAAAATCATAAGTGCAAAACTGATGGATTGCAGAGTACAAGATACTACCAGGGTAGCAAATATATGTATTTAAGTCTCAGTCTGCAGTCTTTTTAGCATAAACCTTAAAGGAATTCCATAGCTTTTAAGGTATATCATGTTACCTTTTGAGGGTACCAATAGTAGATTGAACTGTGTTTAAGGCCCTTAGTTTGCATACATACTATCCACAAGCATAATACTGCCCCTGGAAGTTCATTTTGGTTTTGGCTCCTGCTGGTGAAAGAGCTGCTTATGGGAGGTTTTCTGGAGCAGGAATCCAGTGAAGCACTGTTCACCTCACTAACAGATGCCCATAGAGGTATAAAATCCAGTATTACTGACTACTGCTTCCCTAAGCTGCTCCTACTTCTGGTATTTAACATTTTCGTGATAGATTTTACAGGAACCTGCCCTGTTTTCAGCCCCTGGGAGCTTCTGCTGTTGCAGAACTGTAGAGCGCTTCCTGGGGCAGGTTCAGCCTGCTTGCAGGAGCAGTCTGGGCCTTCTCTCCTCCCAGGGCTGCGGTATCTTGTGGATGGTGCCAGAGCTGGTCTCCAGAGCACGGCATCAACGCCCACAGAAATCAATGGAGCGGGGTTCCTGCCACTCAGTGTCTGCTCTTCGTTTGCTGCCTCTGCAAAGGAGGAAGTCGGATGACTCCTCCTTCCTTTCCAGCCTCATGATTCACGTTCCTACCTTGCATCAAGTTTTGCTGTGGGAGTCTGAGATGATTCAGCTTGTTAAACCACTAGGGAAATGAATTCGAGAGAAAAAAAGTGAGAACCTTTCTTCTCAGTTAGCAAATCCCATCAGTCTGCAGCATGATCCAAGAGTTGCAGAGCTAGAGGAAATAAAGATAATCGTGCAGTTGAGGATTGGGATGGGATAGCTGAAACCCAAACCTTGAGACTTTTTTTTTTACTAAAAACCTTATTTAACATGGAGGCCTGCCTATGACTGCCTGTGTCAGTTTGGGCAGGAGCTGCCCTTTCCCTGTTCTAACAGGGTTGGATTTGTCTTTTTGTGTGTGTGCTTCCCCCTTTGCCCTGCCTTTGGTCCCCGGTAAAAATTCTCAGGATGTTCCCAAGCCTTCAAATGATTTGTCTTCTGTTAACTCTTCATTTGGACACGTTCGTCTTTGTGTCCAATATTTCTTCTTTTTGTTGATGTTCTAGATTTTCATTTTGTTTTTATTTAATGCTAGCAGCCTTGATATTTGGAAGTCTGTGTTGTAGTGTTGTGGATACATGGATACACTATTGTATTGTTTTATACGTTTCTTAGAAGTCTGCTGATATGGAAGAGTCCCTAGATGCCTGAAAACCCACATTTGGGCTTGCAGTTGTCTCATCTCTTGATCCATAACTTGTATCTTTACTTCTGCTTTTATTTCAGGTATGGCCTTTAGAAAGGACGAGTGTCATTGTCACTGTTTTCAGGTGCTGTCCGTGCATCAGAACCGAGTTTGGGGCTGGAGGTGTATTTGTGATTCTGCCCAGTAAACTGCAACGTGGAAGCACAGGATGGGCTCTGCAGCTGTTGCTCTGCACGTGGCAGTTCAGGAGCTTGTGCGAGGACAGAATTTCCCACACAGTTCTGGGGACTAGGGATCAGAGTTGACCCATTCTGCACCCGTGGTGCAGGC